ACAGTGGGAACCAGATAGGGCCTGCTCCAGCCAGCTAGAACAAGGCACATGAAGGAAAGGGGCTCAACTTTGAGCTTTCTTGAAAACACACACACACACACACACACACACACACACACACACACACTCCACTACCAGCCCTATCAGTGAGGTTCGAGGGCCACTTCTTCCAGGTGCTGTATTGCCCAGGGCCATACTGTTAAGCTTGTTCTTGTCTTCCTTTCCACCAAAGCAGATATCCTTCCAACAAGACAACTTTCTGAAGCTAAGACAACTTTCAAGGTGCCCCTTAGAGGCATAGTGCTAGGGGCCACCAGGAGGCAGCAGTGCACACGGCTGCGCTCCCACAGGAAGACCCTGGTGGTAGAGTTTGCTGGGCCTGTGCTTCTCCTGGGAGCAAAGCCACTTTGACACACTCTGGGCATTTTGGCTGGGACTCAGGAGCTTTGGGAGGGATAACAAAAACATGTTTGAATCAAAAATTGGTAGAGAAGTACTAGACTAATAACGTTATATGTATATTGGTAGAAGGGAGCTTCCAAAAAAGCTCATGGAAAATTTCCGTGATCTTTTAATTCCATTTTTCCATAAACTTTTTGAAATCTCTTAGTTATATGTTGGCTTTAAAAAAATGTTGATATATCTACAAATAAAATTCTGTCAATGTAGTTCCTGGTTATACTTAAAGTTTGTGTAAAATAATATATTTTGAACTAATTTGAATAATAACTTTCTTTTTTTACTTCTTGAGAATATGTATTGCGATTCCAAGAAACCGTAGCGAGCACACATGCATTGTCTAATGCTACTCAGGCTGCAGGGTGTACATGGTGTTGTTTGGGTGCCATCAAGCCGCACCTACTCATAGCAACCCTGCACAATAGAAGGAAACACTGCCCGGTCCTCTGCCATCCTCACAATCGTGGCCACCATGGTGTCCATCCACCGTGTGGAGGGGAGGGTCTTCCTCCTGTCTGATGCTCCTCTCCTTTACCAGGGACTGATCTCTCTTGACAACTGTAAGAAATTGTAGGGACCACCTCTCACCTTACAAATCAAATGGGTTCGAGAGGGTATGATCTGCAAGGAAAAACTTAGAGACAAAAGAAACAGATGAAAGTTAGGACACAGGGGTCCCTGTTGGAAGACACTTCAGGGACCAGAGTTTTATTAGGGGCAGGCTTAAGTTCTTTGTCTGTCACATAGGCTGCATCTCGTGCCAGGATTATACAACAGTACAAATTACAATTCTTTGAATGTATGCAAAGGAGTATCAACACTTCAGTAGAGTTATACACAGATGGGACGGAAGGACAAGGTTGGGAACATGAAGAAACAGATAAATTTGCAGGTGGCTGCTTTTGGCAGCTTTTGCCAGGGAACAGGAGGCACGTGTCCATTTTATCTCAAGTGGAGAGACAGGCTAGCCATTGCTTCATCAGCTTTCTCCCGTGGGCCATGAACCGTGGAAGGTGGTAGTCCTGCTGTTTGCCTAAGGAGTAAACAGCTTTTTCACCACAGATAACATGTCAAGAAGCCTCACTTCTAAGGAGCATTCTGGCTGTACTTTTTCCAAAACTGTTCTTCGGGCAGTTCATGGTATTTTTATCAGTACTATAATTTAAATGTTTCGATTCTCTCTCGCGCTCCCTTATTCAACTCCCACCTTTCGCGTGCATATAGGGGGAATGAAAATACCATGGCACGGGTCAGGCACACCTGAGTCCTCAACGTGACAGCCTTGCTGTTCAACACTTTAGAGAGGTCTTGTGGAGCAGATTTTCCCAGTGCCATATGTCCTTTGATTTCTTGAGAATCATTATTTATTTTTCAGGTGACTTTCAATGTATCTGATTTTACCATTCCAATGTTTAGTTGTTTGAAGGACTCTTCATACCGTTATTCCTTAATTCTTGGGGATATCACACTCTAGCCCGCAGGTTAATTGAGCCAGGCACAGGAGGTTAGAGGCAATGAGATGCCTGCTCTCTTATCTATTGCTTGCCTTCTCTCCCAGAGCTACCTGTCTTTATATGTTTGTATAGAGGGGTCTCTTGTTCCAGGTGAAGCCCTCTTCCTCATTATGAAGGCTCCCTGGGAATGTGGACTCTATGGATACTGTCTTCTCAAAGGTGTACATGGGCTTCTTGACCAGAATCCCTGTTGAAGGGGGCAGGGATGGGCGGATCCCTCTGGCCTCTTTCCAAACTCTTTGGGTGGATCCTCACACATTTAACTCCCTGGTGTCCTTTCTTCTCTCTGTGGTGTGAGAGTTTATGTTCAGAAGGTTTGGGTTTAGTCCTAGTTCTAACTCCTTTCGAATTACGCAACATTTGGCAGCACTAGAGAAGCTCCATTATCTGATTTGATATGAGCTTCCTTGTACGATCTGCCTTTCTGTTGTCACACGTCTGGGTAGGGATTATATGAGCTCATGTGTGTGAAAGATGTCAAGTCACTCGATTCTTTCAAACAACTAATTATGAAATGCTTCTATTTGTCAGGCAAGACTTCAGGCACCGGGGAAAGAGCAGTCAAACAAGCACATGCAACAATGAGGGACTCTGCCAAGCCCCCTCTATTGAGGGCAAATGTTTAGCATTCCCACTGGAAGAGTATGAAAATGAAAATACCCGTGACTTCAAGATCTCAATGACCAAGACTGTTCTCAAACTTTTAGATGCTTGTCAATATGATGGTGAGAAATGGCGTTACAGTCTGAGGACAAGTCATAAAAGCAGTGCTACAAAATCGTAGAACCCTTTCTTAAGCAAGAATATCAAATGGTGAAACTATTGTTTCTTGACATATTCTCCAGCCAGATCTATCCACTTCTAATGACCTCTCTCTAACCCTTTCCTAAAGAATCCTAAATTCTTTGATTTAAACCATGCCCAACGTGTTTGGGCATTCTCCAGAGTTCAAATTGCATTCCCTTTCAATGTACTTTGAATTCAATGAACAAAAAGAAATCTAAAGGGTATGGACAGGGTATGTTTTCACAATGACATTCCTCTAGGCCAGCTTTTATTGTCCTTCAAGATTGAACAACCAAGTTACTGTGATGGGAAAATGAACAAACAGACAAAAAATTTCAGTATAATTTTCCTGGCCTTTTTCTTGCCAATACAGTTGTCAATTGAAAAAAAATTGGGGAGAGGGGCCTGTCCTGCCACCCCTACATGGAAGCAAACCAAGAAGGAAAAAGAGGGGCTGAGGCTCTAGACCCCCTTACCAGCACACCAAGCCCTAAGGATGATGGCCCTGCATGGAGCGGCTAAGGCACGGGGAGGACAGCAGGGTGGACAACAGCTGGAGACATGATGACCCCTTGCTGGAGGGTACCGCGACGGAGGACCATACTGAATCCAGTCTGAAGCCCCCACAGC